GTTGATATAAACGCGGAATCGCTTTCCTAAAATACAGGACGATTTACGTATTATTAATTTGACTCCAAAAATTTTTCTTTTGAAGAATCTAAATGTCAATTAAATGTTGAATAAGTCAGAAAATGTTAAAGATAGCTATAGGAACATGTAATATCAAAATATGCCATTTTCGATTCTCTATCTCATGCAATAGTAAGAAAATGGTCATTCCATTTAAAAAACTGAGTTTTTAGTCTTTGAAGTTTCTTAAATTTGCATCTTCATTACGTGCGGTCGTACGCAACTGAATATTTTCAATTACACATAATGCTTTTTGGCCTGAGTGTGAAGGAATAAAATTTTGTAATTAACTGTATATAATGTATATTAGATTTTGTAAACGTATCATTTGTTGTAAGTTTAAATTTAGAGTAGAGGGAAGATTTGGCCGAAGAAAGACGGTAATTTTTATCAGTGCCCAATAAAACCCAATCAAAGTGTAAATTAAGGCGACTGTATTTCAAGTTACTGCCAACTAATCGGATCGCTCAGCGCGAAAGAAATTGCATCATCAATTACGTGCAAATATACCGTAAGTAGTGGAAAATTTCCTAAAAAGTGAAATCACAGTAACGCGCAGTTAAAAGTGTTCACGAACTACTTGCTATTAAAGGACCAAAGGCTTAAGCTCGCATTTTGTTTAACGCTTGCGAGTTCTATCGCTAGCGTTTGTTTCTAAATTTGACCAAGAAGCAGTGACGATCTAAATAAAAACTCAAGTTACTGGACTCCATCTATCCGAAGAGACTATAGCGGAGGGTTGCCGATTTCAAAGCACCAGGACATCGACCCACTGAATCAAGAGACTTCATTCATAAGGTAAAATACAATATTCATTTATTCTAATTAAAATCCAACGGTTTACGTATTTTAAAACTCGCGGTCACCTTGCTATTTATTCTCTATGCACTGATAAAAATGGGTTACCATAACTATAACCGTTTCCAAGTAAACAATTATCAAGGTACCATCTGCATCCGCCATTTTTTCTTTACAGTCTAAATAACTTAAAAACCATCAAAGATAGATATCGGCATGCGGGTATCAAAAGAACTAAAAATTCACGTAGAATCCAAAAATGCAATAAAAAATAGAGGCTGCCATTTAAAATAACGAAGTTACGAGCTACTTCCGGTATTTACGGAAGTGCGACCATTTTGAATATATTTTGCATAGATGCGGCTTTCAGAGTTAACTTCTAAGTACAAATTTTCAAAAACCTACCTATTTTATTTTCCCAGAAACGTTTACCTAAAGCTCCCCAAACAAAAACAGTGTGTCTGTATGGAGGTGAGCCCTAGCACTTTTATATTATGCACGAGAGTTACGTATTACTTGTCTTAAGCTCCCCCCCCCTCCTTCTGGAAATATCTGGAAAATGTTGCAATCATTTTTAAAGAGCTTTGGGAATGTTCAACACCTGAATTAAATCTGGGATACGTGATGGTAAATTAAAACATGAAAACGCTACACAATTGAATACCTACCTCGATACAGTACCCAGACAGACATATGACGTTGACTAGAATTCTTGAGCAAGGATTTAACATCGCAACAAGAACCGTTTCGAGCAGCGAGTACCGAAGGACTCCAAACCAATCAGATGTTACCCAAAACGGCACTCGTTATGATGTTATATAGAAGTTGAACAGAAATCCGACGTTAAGGAGAAAACTAAGTTGAGTTTAAAATTATTCAAAGCGAGCTACAATTTTCATGAGATTGCACCATAAAAATCAATCACGTCTTGGGAACATTTAACACTGAAGGTGGATTGGGTTGATGGTGACGATTCCCGGTCACCTATACAACTTTCTCCTCAAGGTCGACTGCCGCCTGTAAAACGGAGTACCTGGAGTTTGTATCACCGGCGTAATAATAGGCGGCTAAGGAGCATAATCCTAGCCAAATTCCCCATTCCAAATACGGCCGGCGTATGGAAAATCTGTAAACGCAGGAATGTTATTTGTAAACCCCTGTAAAGAATACAATCCTTACGTTAGATGTCGCATGCCGCCATCCCCATCGATTGAAATTGTAATTCCTTCTTATATCCCATCTTGTCTGAGCTTCTCTGGTCTGTGAAGTTGGAGTGTCGACTTGAAAGGAATTAAGTTCCAAGTATCTCATAATTTTGTGCTAATTTGTGCTGCTAATTAAAAATTTTGTGCTCATCAGGTTAATGAATAATTCAACTTTTTCTGATGACACTTCAACTTCACGCTGGAGTGTCAACATCGATATTTTCAAATTTGATGAGCACAAAATTTTTAATTAGCAGCAAAAATTAGCACAAAATGAGCACAAAATTATGAGATAAATTTCATTGTCTATAATACGCACCTATATTATCCGTAACTTCAATTCTAGTAGGTTAAATAAAACCTGCAGACTTCACGTTATATCGCGCTGCATTTATCTCTTGGGTTTGTGCTTTGGTCAATTGACCTGACGGAAAGACACTTGTCGTTGTCTTGCTTGTTGGTTGCTTAAAGGTTTACATGGAATTAAACGGACCCCGGGTTACGAGCATGAAATTTATAAAACTGGTTAAAGGGTACCTTAATTACGCGTTTTCAACAAAAAAATTGCGAAACAAGCCCTAAATTTTTATTTGATCTTTTACTTCATACCATGATGATTTTTATGTTGGTAAGAGGGTGCGTATACCTTTGAATGCTTTACTTCAATTTCTTAAGAAGTTATGTTAACATTTTTTGACGATGTTTTGCAGATATTTTAATAAACGTTACAAATTTTAGAAAATGTTGATGTAAAACCACGCATCTGTCTCAAATTATATCATAATCTCAGTAAGTTTTGTCCATGCTTCATAATTAAAATATTCACCAATTCAAATCATGACGTAACTACATTTTAACTCTTCTCTTGTCGGGTGTTCAAAACTGTTGTTACGGAAAAGGGGACCCATAGAAAATTCAAGACTTTCCTCGTTCTCTTTTTGGATATGCAAGGCGGTCGAGGATAATCCGCGGTTCATACGGAGAAAGCGTTCGATACGGAAAAGGCGGCCCATAGAAGATGTGAGTGGTGCCCTTCCCCTCTTGGATGTGGAAGGCGGTCGAGGTTAATCGGCGGTTTGTACGGAAAAAGGGGTCCATATGAAAAAGGCAGCGCAGGAAAGATGCGAAAGGTGTCTCTTTCCCTCTCAAGCGTATAAGTTGACCCTCTTCTAGGGCTTTCTAACATAACATCACATTTTGATGAAGGTAAGTAAACTTTGTATTAAGATTGTAGACAATTTTGGGCTTCTTCCGCAATTTTTATTTGTTGAAAACGCTTAATTAAAGACTTACGCTCTAATTATTATTAATAATTTCATGATCGTAGCTTAGGGGCCGTATAACGCTTAGAGATTCAACTCGCTCCATAATACGGGGTTGTCTACACCACCTACAAAAAAAAACAAAATAATAGTATATTAAGTATGGAGAACGGTAAGGGATTTTTACCGTTCGAAGACAATTGTTTGGAGGAGGAGCGGAGCGACGACTCCAATTATTGTCTGAGAACGGTAACCCTTAACGTTCGACGTGCTTATAACATTTTTTGCGCGATCGAAATTAAAATTATGCAACCAATATAAATATGCACTAAGAAATTAACGAGCAGAATAAATTGAAATGATCGAAGTGGTATGGTGTACATCACTAGGTAACCAGTTTATTTGTCAAAACTGAAATTAATAATTTCTTGTGCATGTGTCTGATGTAGTTTGCTAGCTTTGCACTTCCGTTATGACTTTATGAGCGAGGTATTCGCCGGTGGCCGAATGGTATGTTGAAGATTTTACAGAACAAAATTGTAATTGGAATGGAAGAAAAACGAAAGCACATATTCAAACACATTGATCTCTATTGCTTCAGGTTTAAATGAAGAACGTGTTCTTTCTATAGGAAACATCAGCACAAATTGTAAGTTTAATGTAACAATAATTAAAGATTAAATGTAATGTAAGACTGTTAACATTGAACTGATTGTTTTTAAAAAGGCGTCGGTAAGTATTTTTGCTGTTCTGTTTTTAGATCGGTAAGTAATTTTGGCGTCGTCGTAATCATAGCAACTGGTAAATTCCACTTACTGTCATGGAAACACACATGGTAAATAGTCAGAAATGACCGATCGCGCAAAAAAATATATTTAGTTTTTTTAAAAATTGTCTAACTATTCCATTAAGTCTTGGACGGTCAATTATTTCCACTTTTCTCAAACAATCAAAGCGATTTGAATTTTAATTCTAATCATATTCCTGACTTCAAAAATAAAGCTATGCAGAAAATCATCACACTAACTAATTATACAATGAAAACCCGCTTACTTCGATTAACTCATAAAAGAACCTTTAAAATTTAGATAACAATAAATTACATGTGTAACCCATTAATCAATTGAACTACGAATGTTTAAATTACGATTAACATTTGAATAAGCCCTTCAGCAGTTTGCTGTGGCTAGCACAGATACCACCCGCACACCTACGCATGCGAGATTCTGCCCTTTTATGTCTAAGAATATATGTACCAAATTTGGCTCAGGGACGGTTATGACCCGACTGCCGTGGTAATACTCTTGCAGGCCCTCGTTTATGGGGGGTGGGGGGTATCATTGTGCAGCTCTGCACCTACCCCCCCCCCCCCCCATAAGTAGCAACCCAGGGTGGATACAGGATTCTTCTGTATGAGATATATTTCCATTCAATTTTATTTGTTCTAACTGATGGTGTGGTGTTGGACATATGTTATTAAGTTATAGGCTACATTTTGTCGCTATTTGTAGCCGTATGATTCAACGTCCATTATTTTATATTCATTTGTTCCCATTTGATATCAAATCATACAAAAGTGCGGTTTTTATTTACGCTTTTATAATTAAGTTCCGTTCCCTTATTCTTATTTCAAGGCGGATTTATTAGGCACTCTTTTCCTACCCAGCTCCCGTACAATTCAATTTCAGTTGACATTATTGTAACGAGTGTCACTCTTCCATTCACAGGGCAACATAGTTATTGCTAGATACAAAACTCTAATCATATTTACCTACAAAACTACCACACTTCCGCGGGGCAGCCAAACCACAAATCATACGATAAAGAGAAATATCAACACAAAAAGCGAGCAGTGTATTATTGAAATTTTCTCGACTATCCCGAGTTACAAAATTCGAAAATTAGTATGTAGAAAAAAATGTGCGTAATTCCGTTTGTAACGATTATAATGTGCGCGTCACTCGCAGCAGGTACGCCTTACCTTCTTCGTAAAAATGATCTTTAATTTTTCAATTTCTAGGGAATTCCTGCGAACGGCTACTTTCCCTTTACGAAAGTTTCGAGTGTGGACCGAACGACGTCATCGAAAATGTTGCCACTTCTTACTACTGCGCGACGTCGCCTTATAAAACTGAATATGCGGAAAAATTGTGTTATTTTAAGGGACGCTTTTATCGAAATGGGGAAACCCTTCCGCGGCGGTATGCACGTACTGTTTTTGAAGACGTTTGTGACTATACTTGTCGAATATCCGTCGAGTTGGGTTTAGGGTAGGTATAATCGAATGCTAAGTATTTTCTTAAGGATTCTTTTAGACCTTACTTTGAATACGGCAACTGTGACACTAATGAAACCATAGGTAAGTGACCTGTAATTTCATCAATGATACCAAACTTACCCCGATCTTTATTAAAACATTTGAAATTTATTATACACGCATTCGGTAATTGCAAAAGCAACATTTTTAGATAACCGAGGATTTTTTAATGAGTGTTTTAAATTATCCACAGAGCTATGATAAATTGGTTGTCTGTTAAATAACGACTAGTGTAGTAAGTACTTTGATCGAATTCTTGTAACTGGATGGTAATTAGATACATGGGTGTTTAATTAGATTTTCGTAGTTGTACAGGGTAGTTTCATTATAGGATAGGTTTCTCTAAAATTTGGTCTCGCTATTGTTTCTGGGTCAATGATTTTTGGGTCAATGAGAAAATTTGGTAGCGCCAGTCTGGTGGGAGATAAGTCAGAAATAATGGATCATACGTGTCGGTTTTTGTTGAGTTGAATCCGTTTCATGACCTGTATGAGGACTGCTTACGCTGCGAGTAAAAAAAATCAAATCAATCAAAACAGGCTCAATAAAGTCTTAAATACCTTGATACTGTCAATGATTCCAGAAACCAGTTTTACACCTGCAATGTCCAATGCAAAAAACGCACAAGTCATAATCATAAGCACTAAACTGACCTCTTCTCAGGAAACTCAACTTCTTTAGTTCATCACACAATCTCAACTATTTTAATTTTGTTGACCTACTTATAACCTTTTAATTCAATAAATTTTCCTTTTATGAACGTTACTGACCAACAAACTAACTTGACTTTAATTAACAAACAACACTTCGATTCCACTTCTTTTATTATTAAAGTAAGCACACTTCTCCTATCTAAACACGCACCTGCGAGAAACATCTGTTTACAGAATTAATTAATTTTAAGCGATAAAGCAACTCTTATCTACGAAAAGAGAAAAAAATGAGATAAATTTATCAAATATTACGCAAATAATTTTCCTTGTTTTATAAACGTAAATTCTTATCAATTAAAAACAAGATAAACAAACCACACTACGACTAAAAAAAATTAGACATCGTCCATACTACAAAATTTACACAGCAGTATCTAAAAGCGCAACAGAGTGGGTGATAGGTCCCAGACCTCACTGAAGGAGAGCTAGTTTACGTAATCCAATCCTGAGCGCTTGAATCTCGCCACCCAGGTTATACGTTATAGTATACCCTTGCGGCATCCACCATCGGATCAGCGGTTGTCCGGGACTGGACTGGATAGTAATGGATCTTTATTTGGCATGTTACACAAAATCTAGCATCTATTGCCGTGGGTTATCCTTGTAAGCCTCCCTAACGACTGTGTTTGCTCAAATCGTGCTTCCTTTTCCGTGCTCTGCCACGGATGTTTACAGGATCTCTCAGTAATTTACAGCACAGACCTGCTCGTAAGACTCAGCAAGGGTATTAACTGCATCTTGAAGACACTCTGATTCTCTCCTGAAGATGGTTTCTCGAGTTTTCTCCGAAGAGTTGCTCTTCGGTTCAGGAATAGACATGCAGTTTCTTTTTCTTAGAGTTTCGTTATGATTCGGCCACCTGCAAGCCTGATTGAGGGGTATCTAAAGACCTGCTCTACGATATACATAAAACAGTCGTATTCTCAATTCTAGAAAAACCGGCGAAGGTTCGCCACAGGGGCTATTCGGTACATTGAATTTTGGTCAAGCGGTTAATTGAAAGTCGGAATTTTTTCGTCGGAAAATGACACTGATAAATAGATCTAAATTCACTTCTAAAATACTGTAAATTTTAGTTTGCGAGACATTTAGGTGTTTTAAGGAAGAATTTGTTCCGCCTGGGACAGTTTCGTCATTTATGTAGGGCAGATAAATGCATTTGTTTTAGTAGATAATAATAAGTAAATATTATTGTACTTAACATAAATTTAATTGCGTGATTTATTTATTTACAATTAACGCTCTCGAGTATTCTAGAATGTTCTCCAACAAGCACGACATATTTCCCGGAAAGATTGCATCACATGCGCCTTCGTTCTTTATCGCCGATGATTTTTATTTTAATGTCAACGGTCAACGTTGCTTTGTATAGGAATTGTTGGATATTTTGTTTAAATTGATCGCCTTGTAATTTGTTTATTTAATTGTAAAAGTGAAATTACGTGTTAAAAAGTAGAAACATCTGGTCGTGTTTGCGCGTTGTATGAAAAGATTTATCTGGTAATCGCGATAAAAACATTCGTTATCGCGTTGCGTAAGGTAAAATTGAATTAGTTTCAAGATAAGCACGTGTTATTGCTAGGGTTTTCTCAAAAGCGGTACCGTGCTTTAGCGGCCGTCAATGTACCGTAACGTTGCCGCGTAGTATATGGACACTGGTTTTCAACCGAACGTTAACACACACGGTAACGGTCTTAATTGAAGCGGGAACCAGTACGGCGGTAATAGTTGTGCAACGTTTTATACTATAATCATACAATGATACTTCAGTTTCAGACTTTACGTCTATCTCCTATCGCTTCGACGACCGCTCTTTTCTCACCGCTTTTGTGACGTCACTCACCGTATTTTAACGGCCGTAAGACGGCACCGTAGCTTGTCTCGACTTACAGTTCACTTACGACACAAAGATTAACTCACTCTTAACACAACTATCTTTCCTCTATAAAATTATATAACTGGGAAGATGAACTGTTTTGCAAACTATGCTCAAAGTACGGCCATAAACTCGATTCACGTCTTCACCTAAAAAGAGTCACGATTAGCGTCCGGTTCGATTATTAAAAACCATTACCCTCTCCTTCCTTAATAAAATACTGCGCCGTCGAAGGAATTAATATCTGCTTACTTCTGTGATAATTACGTGCTCATCTTTAAACTTGCAAGTAATTAGCTTACGCCGCGATAAAGCGTCTTATCGAAAACGGTCAGAGAAAAACATGAGATAAACTTTTACAAATACAACGCAGATAATTCTTAATGTTACTTAATCTCAAAAAATAAAGATAACAATTATTTAAACAAAATCAAACATTAATTTCGATACAACACATTGATTTGAAATCAAAAGAAATATGATCGACATTGGGTTTAATCTCCAATAGACAACCACATTTAACGTCGACAGTAATTGGAATGCACATACAGGGTAACCCATCATTACGGTAGGTGGCGGTAGGTCCTTAATGTTTCCTAAAAATTACCTTAAAATCGCCTAGTAAAGTTACACTTCCAAGACTTATATACCTACCCTTCATTCACCCTCCAGAGATGCTGCCTTAATATGGTCTACTAACGAAACTAATTTAAATGAGTGTGCTCAATGTTTAGCAGTTAAATGCACCCGTAATTGCCTACGAATATGCTTTTCGACGAGAAATGCTAGTTTTTCCTTGCGACCGGTCTTCTTATAACGGGCGATCAAAAATGAGTTGCTGTCGAGTCGCCTTTGGAAGTTCAAGTTAAGTACGATTTCCCATGTAAACAAAAGTTCCAAAGGTGACTCGACAGCAACTCATTTTTGATCGCACAGTATAGCTTCAGGTGTATCAAGGACGTTACGTGCATTACGGATAATAGCACGACGCATATAAATAATGCGAACAAACCGGCTCATAGTAGTCTTTGGAACCTCGAACAGGCGCCTGAAATCACTTGAGAGCCCTTAAAATGCCTTAATTTAATACCAGACTCTCGGAAAGCGTTTAAAATCATTTACGTGCAGAATCCAAAGGCGATTAACCGCCCTTAACGACTTTAAAAGTGTACACGGTGGCCAACTAAGAATGCGAGGTATTGTATCTGAGAATCTATCCATCGTAGAGGCTTGCGGTGAAAAATTTTTTACTAAAACGGCCACGAGCAAAACCTGGAAAATATTTTTTAGTTTCTGAAATGACCGCTAGGGAGCGTTACTGCAATCTGGAATCTAAAAAAGTGATGTTTCTGTGAATTCCGCTATATTAACCTTACAAAAAAATGTCCGGTCTTTGAAGACGATGATCATCTGAACCTTTTTTGTTTGACAATTAGCATTGATAACGCCAGTTTCGACAGAACGCGGCCCCACTTACGCCGAACTAATGTGCACATCTTTGAACACCTGAATAACTAGTTAACTGTTTTAACAGCAACAAAAAACACGCTCGCCCGACAACAAAACCTCTTATCGTAAACGACCAGATGTGCCTACATTTAAACAGGCTATTTCACGTTTTATACGACATGTTAACCTTCTTTGTTTGACCGTTTGCCGCTATTGCCGTCGATGGCGCTTATGCATTGAGAGCAATTAGGTGATAGGTGTACCAACATTTTTGTAATGTTAATTATCTCTTTTGGCAGATGTCGTGGAAGGAGAATGCATTCATGATGCGCTAAGTAACGTGGATTTCTTCAATTATGATTGGGCTCCAGTTTTCTTCACAGGGGATCAGTGTCCCTTCTTTTGGATTGCCGATGAGCGTAAGTAGCATTGTTAATAAAACGCAAATTCCAGTAAAGCAAGACAAATCTGTCAATTTGAGCTACAACTTACATTAAGTTGGTTTTTGATGCACGTTTTTCTCAAGCCTCCTGGAAAATATATGAATCTGGTGATAGTAATCTAATTTTTTATAGCTTCCGATTTGACTTCTGATGATTGCTCCGAGGATTCAAGTAAGTAAAGTTTGTCGTTGCTAAAATGTTCTAATCCCACTTTCAGGAACCTGTTGCAAATATCTTAACTACACCATAAAAGCGGGGAGGAAATTTCGACCTACAGACTTAGTTGAATGCGACTGTACATGTCCTCCTATGACTGAATGTATTCACATCTAAGGCAGTTTTGTACTGAGTGATCTAAAATGATCGCACTTGAAATCACTCACTTCTAGAGATCAGTAGTAAAATAGTCATAGATGTAATTTTGAAGTTTTATTTTACATGTTATAAACACTAAGGGATGATTAAGAGATATTATCATCTTCACCATCATACCACCGTCAGGATTCGTTCATTAAAAATTTTCCAGCACGAGGTTCCGCGGATAAGGAAAATTTTTGGTAGTGAATGTGTTTTGGGAGTGTACTGCGACGGATCTGGTGAATGAAAAGGAATTCTGCTTTCTGAAAAATAACGAATTTAGACTGGGTCTGGAATACGGGGGAATTAATGGTCAGGTCTGTATTAATATCTGTTTATGGATTCTGTTAGGCAAAGTGATCAAGGTCTGGGAAAAAATCTCTGGTCAAAATCAAAATCAAATGCTTATAGGTACAAGGAGAGTGGGAAATTAAGAAGGGATGTAGTTTCAAAGGATGGGGACGAAGGCAGGCGACATCTAACGGAGGAATTCTACAACATTATTTATAGGGCGTTAACAAAATTTATACGTTACCCATTCTTGACTTTTCTTGCAACAGACGAGCAGATTTATTGATCCTCGGATTCGACCAACGATGATAGGACTAACCTGGTGGGTGCAGTATTAAAAATTCAAGAGCTTTGGAAAGAAATTGTCGTAGAAAAGATTCAGAGGTTTGGAAAGTTTCACTAAATACGATGGAATCGAACCTCAATCCATCAGAAGGGAGGTGTGGAAACGTTGAGTGACGGAATACCTTCCAAAGGGAATGATCATCCGATCCCTTGAAATTGAGGACGCTTGTCCTTATTTTGGGTCGAAAACATGCCGACGAAATGCTGGAAACGTGGCATCTTTTCGAAAGAGCTTTCCCTCTCTACAAGGTTAAATTTATAGGGTAGAGAATCTGCAGAGAACACAAATAAAAATGACATTGACAATGTTTCGGGAAAAGGATTCGAGCTGTAGATTGGAAATGACAACGCATTAAATACACACGAGAATCAATTGTTCTTTGAACGTGGTTTTTCCGAACGATTGATCTGTGTTTAGATTGTAAGAAGCGAGACTCTATCATCAAAGTTTGTGATTAAGGGGTTTATAAATTATTTTGAAACTTTTCCACCATTAAAAGGAGAAATTTTCACGAAATTAATTAATTCATGTTTTTCGGATACAGATGTTTAAAGCAATTTTAATGTTACTGACGCGAACTACACAGGCCAGTCTCGTTTTGGATTCACTAGCAGTGAAATAACTACACTGAATTTTTTAATACTAGCTGTTAATGGTAGAGAAAATGTACTGGCGTGCTTAATTACTTTGTCCTTGGTCAATATACCGTCGATTAATTCATGCTACTAAAACTTGCGTATTTTACGATAGTATTTATTTCGTACGATTACAAAATAATCCTTCCTTGTAATATAATAAACTGACACATTCATTTTTTAACTTCCTCTTTGCAACATCATGCTCTCACGATCGAAGGACCGGATTCTTTCCAAAACTTTACCGGATAATCACCGCCACTGAACAAATTTACTTTTTGCATGGCACTGCTTGGTCTGATAACCCAGTTCCGAACGAATGCAAAATCTTACTCTGGACAACGCACTAATCTAAATCTAAATCTTCTGGAATAACCTCTTACTGATTACTGATTAATTGAAGAAGGCTTCTAATAATTTAGTAAACCCTTTTTTCTTAAGAGCAAATCTCATTGGTGGTACCCCCCGAAATGTATATATTGTATATTATGTATCACGCGCTGAATTTTCTGCAAATTTGACAAATCTTACGATGACCAAACGGTCATTTCGCAATTTCAATCACGTAACCCTAAATAAGATAACTGAATCTAATCCAAACCCCGGACATACGGGCGACACCTATTTTCGGAACTAATTATGAGGTCGCTGCGTATATACTGCAGCTGTGACCGTTTAACTTAAATGCAACACCCCAAGTTGGGCGAGCAAATAAAAATGCAGTGTGTAATTTTAAAACTTAAACTTTAACGTAGAAACGTGCGTCTTCTAAATTTTCAATGGACAGCAACTCGGTCTCAATATTACTCCAGTATTTAAACGGACTTCCCTCCTTCAACAAATCGAAATTTCTTATCGAATTATCGACGCCTGGCAACTCAATAAACCAATCACCTTCCTATAGGACGCTTTCTTCAGTCACGTACGCAAACTTTATGCGAAATTATCTTATCTCAAATACAATATTTTCTACGAAAACAAACAGTTCCTTCCCCATTAAAGGGCAACCTTACCTCTAGATAATTGCATCAATATTTTGTAAAAGATAATGAAAATACCCAAATCTGAACTGTCACAAATGAATAAACAACATAAATTGATAACGAAAAAGAGCTAAAATTTTCCTATCCTTAGTAATTCTAGGAACTAATCTTTTTTACAACGAAACAAATAAACATCTTGATACGGGCTAGGTACCCAAAATCGTTTTGTGTTTAACCGTAATTTCACGAGATTATAGCACGTGATTTATAATTCACTTCAGGTGCCTGAACCTAAACCTCAACGTCCAAATCGACCTACATATAACAAAAACAACCGCCAATTCCACCAACTACTTACGGACCTTTACAATTCCACCAAATATAATATATTGGAACTTTTTAGTGGTTCCGAACTACCATGCCTACGGGCCTAAAAATTGTACTTATCTTTCGAATTCTCAAGAACTAATTGCAAATTCGGCATTTCCATGTTAAACGATCATTAACCAGGTTTCGTTGATATCAGAATTTATTTTCTCACCCCACGGTGCGCCATCTTGGGATAGAAATTTGGAAAAATTAAAAAAAAATGGAAACTAAAGCAGTCCTGGGGACTTTTATAGGGGCAGCACCCCGATTTTTTTTGGCACAACACACCCTGTATACTTAATGAAGTAAGCAAATACCCATCAGGCATTCTTGGCCCTAGGTATTCTTCTATTGTAATTTGTAGAAAAACAAAAGATGGGGAAGATGACAAAACGTTTTCAGGAATCATCTAGTTACTAGAGCATAACAATTTTAATAAATAATCACTGGCTAATTTAATATTTACAGATAGCGATATTTGTTTTAACAAGATTTGCGTGACCTCCATAGGAGGAGATTTAAACGGAAAGCATCAAAAGTATGCATCAAATTCATGACCAAACAGTTATAAAAAGTGTAAGAGAGGTGCGATCACCATTATTGACTTCCAGTGCAAACATTACAACATTATTACGAAGTCGGTGCAAGTTGTTTGCCCTTAATACACTTTACCAACACAATATTACATTAAACTAGTACGGCTGTACCTCTTTAACTCGATTTAGTGCACGTTGTATACATATCGTGGAACAGATTGCAGTTTATTACGAAGACTATGAATTATCTTCGCGAAACATGATGTTGACTTTTAAACTAACTAGAGCACATGCGATCTTCCACTACTCACGTAATTGCAAATTTCTGCTAATATCTATTATTTTATATGGGCGCTAACAGTATCCAATTATATGATAGGGGGAAGGTAAGTTTCGTTGGGCTAATTTAAATGCGCGCAAAACTGGCAGCTGACAACCTTTAGATAAATAGTTCGAATCACTTCCAAAGTTTTTAAGTGAAAAGGACAAGCGCGGATAATTTGTCCTGATTAATTACCGCCGATAAAAATTCTTTACGAGTAAACGTCGAAAATTACATAGTTTTATGCATTCCTTTTGGTGAAGAAAAAAACCCCGGTCTAGACATTGTACTTAGACATTCCAGGCGCATTGCTTACTACATGCAAAATGGAAAAATGGTATTGTCGCATTACGGATTTTTGAAGATGCGACACTACGCTTGCAATTGCATGGATTGCTCATATACAGGGTGTTTTTTTGGGAGCTTTAGTTAAAAGTTTCTGGGAAAGTAAAATAGGTAGGATTTTGAACATTTGTACTTAGGAGTTACTCTGAAGGCCGAATCGATGTAAAATATTTTCAAAATGGCCGCACTTCCGGAAACACCGGAAGTAGATAGTAACTTCGTTATTTTAAATGGCAACCCCTATTTTTTATTGCTTTTTTGGATTCTACGTGAAATTTCAGTTCTTTTGATACCCATATGTCATATCTGCCATTTATGGTTTTTAAGTTATTTTGACTTTAAGAAAAAAAATGGCGGATGCTGATGGTACCTTGATAATTGATTACTTGAAAAAGGTTATAGTCATGACAACCCATTTTTATCAGTGCATAGAGAATGAATAGGGCTTTCTTTTACTGTACTTAAAACAAAGTTAAGTTGCGTACAACCGCACCTATGGAGATCCAAATTTAAGAAACTTCAAAGTCTATAAACTCAGTTTTTTTAAAATGGAATGACCATGTTCTTAATATTGCATGAGATAGAGAATCGAAATTGGCATATTTTGACTATACATGTTCCTATAGCTATCTTTAACAGTTTCTGATTTATTCCCATTCCATTGAATTGATCTCGGAATTGATGCCATTTTTTTCGCAATTTCTTTTTAGTAGTTGGCCATGATTTTATAACAATCGAATTTTAAACAAATCAAGGAATGGATTCTTTAATACCATTGATTCTAGTTCTAGTCTAAATAATTCATTAATAAATAACTCATTTAATAAGGATATAGGACAGAAAATTTTTGAAAAATCTAAACAGAGGCGTTCAACTGAATTTCTTAAACAACGTATAAGTCTGGAAATTAAGAGAGGTAATGCGATATCTGTTCTAGCAACAATTCCATACCAAAAATGTTTCAACAAAGTTTTTTATATTTTGCATTGAATTTATTTTGTTAATCTTGCATTTGCAATTCAATTCATTTTCTTAAATAT